GGATCATTGGCCTGCACCACCAGGCTTCCTCCTCTTTAGAAAATAGACATTTGTCTTTCTGAGTAAGTCCACGTGTTTTCTTATAGGTGGAATTTTTGTTCTTTATGCCAGCATAGCCTTTAAAAGGTAAGAATTTATATTTAATAAAAGTGAAAGTCCTGGGGTTTCAGCCAGATGCAGGTCTTCCACAACAGGGTCAGTTTCCCCCTCAGCTTACCTGCCACTCTCTCCCTAGCTCGCTGGCCTCCTCGCTCCTGCCTCCTGACTGAACAACCCTAAGTCTCCCAGGCCTGTGTTGTCTCAGTTTGCTGTACTTTCCCCACATTCCGAATTTCCGTGACTCACGGCCTCCTTTTCCAAGATCTCTGCTCTTGCAAGAGCCTGTCCCTGACCACTTTATATAAAATAGCATTCTGGGCTGGAAGAGATAGAGGAGTGTTTTGTTGGAGTTTACCAGAAAGGTATGGGGGTGTGCCTCAGTGATGGAACACTTGCCTAGGATCCAGTAGTGAGGGTTTGAGAGCACGGCTCAGTGACAAATGCTTAACTAGGACCCACCAGTGAGGGTCTGGGGGCTGAGTCTACTGGTAAAATGCTTGCCTGAGGTGCCTAGGTTCCATCCAGACCCTGGCTAAACAAAAACCGCCTCCTACACTTTTGTCCATAATTTTCACCATTTACATTGTTGATTCATTGCTGTTTCTTCCCCCAAAATAGCAACCCACAAGGGAGGGAAGGGGACCAATGCTTCAGATTCCTTTCCAGCCCTGGCCTCTGAAGCTGTGCCTGGCCACGGAGAGGAAACTTACTAAATCCTAACTGAATGAATGAATGAATGGACTCAAAACCACAGGGAGAGCCAGGTGTGGTAAGTCAGGCTTGTAGCTCCAACACTTGGGAGGATGGGGCATGAGGTCTTCTAGGTCAAGATCAGCCTGGGCTACGAGGAGACCTTGTTTAACAAAACAAACAACAAATTCCAAAATACCAGTGCAGTTAGGGGCTGATGAGATAGCTCTGCAGGTGAAGATAATTAGTCAAATCTGATGTCTTAGGATTTCTATTGCTGCAAGCAAACACCATGACCAAAAAAGAAAAAAAAAAGTTGCAAGTTAGGGATTATTATTATATTATTATTATTATTATTTGGCTTTTTGAGACAGGGTTTCTCTGTAGCTTGGAGCCTGTCCTGAAACTCACTTTGTAGGCCAGGCTGACCTTGAACTAAGAGATCCACCTGTCTCTGCCTCCTGAGTGCTGGTATTAAAGGCATGTGCTACCACCGCCCAGCTTGAGGAGTGTTTTGCTTGGCTTGTACTTCTATATGATTGCTCATCAAAGAAGTCAGGACAGGAACTCAACCAGAGCAGGATCCCGAAGGGAGGAGCTGGTGCAGAGGCCATGGAGGGGTGCCGCTTACTGCCTTGTTCCTCATGACTTGCTTAGACTACTTTCTTATAGAACCCAGGACCCCCAGCCTAGGGATGCTTCCACCCACAAAGGCTTGGGCCCTCCCCTATCACTCATTTAAAAAATGCCCAACAGGCTTGCCTATAGTCCAGTCTTATGGAGGTATTTTCTTAATTGAGCCTCCCTCCTCAGATAACTCCAGCATCTGTTGACATAACACTATCCAGCACACCAAACGACTTGAGATTTATCTACACAATAGAAACATTTTTGCAAGCTGTCCTCTGATCTCTGTGTGTGGCGTGCACATACAGACACACTGGGAAATGCAAAAGAACTTGCAATATTTTGTGAGTAGATTCGAGTGCAGTGCCTGTGGAAGGCATGAAGAGGTGACCAGATCCCCCAAAGCTGGAGTTACAGTAGGCTGTGAGCCATCCAACATGGATACTGGGAGCCAGACGCAAGTCCTCAGCAGGAGCTGCAAACACCCCTTACTGATGAGCCCTCCCTCCAAGCCCTAAATATACGTACATAAATACATACATATTTTAATGAGAAAGTTAAAATTGGGCTTTGAGTAGTGGGTGGCCACTGTAGGAGAGGAACATAATGCCAGGATCCGGGAAAGGTGAGGAGGATGGAAGGGCTGTGACCAGTCACTACAGCAGCCAACAAGGTAACTTCATTGGGAAAATCAGGATGACCCCCAAGTTTGGGATCTGAGCAAAGAAGTGTGAGAACGTTACTGAAATAAGGACCCCAGGGAAATAAATGACTTTATTTTTATTTTTATTTTTTAAAGGCAGGGCTTCAGGTAGCCCATTCTGGCATCAAACTCCCTATTTACCTGAGGATGGCCTTGAACTCTTGACAGCCCATCTCTCAGGAGCTAGGATTACAAGTGTATGCTGCATTCCCTGCTTAGGTCAGGGCTTACAGTGAGTGCAATCGGCTGGCAGCTCTCTTGCCCACTTGCAGACTTCCAGCCCCAAGGCACAGAAGTGGGGGCTCCAACCTAGATAGTGAGGTCTGAAGGAAATGGTGGTCGCTTTAGTGACTCCCAACAGACTCAGGGTCACTAAGTGATACCAACTAGGGGGACGGGGTACTCATGTGCCCTCTCCCACTCCCAGGACTGTTAAGAGCCAAATCCTCTGAGGGTCCCTTGTAATCATAGCTGCTGTTCTTTCTTCAGACTGACTTGTGTATGTTTGCCTACATATACATACATGTACCGTGTGCATGCCCAGGTGCTCTCAGAGGACAGAAGAGTACAGGATGCCCTGAACTAGTAATAGAGGACTTTGAGCTACCATGAGGCTTCTAAGAACTGAACCCAGTTTCTCTCTTTTTTATTTGTTTTTAGACAAGGTCTTTCTTTTTTGTTCTGTTTTCTTTTCTTTTCTTTTTTTTTTTTTTTTTTTTTTTAAGGCAGGGTTTCTCTGTGTAGCTTTGGAGCCTATCCTGGCACTCACTCTGGAGACCAGGCTGGCCTCGAACTCAGAGATCCTCCTGCCTCTGCCTCCTCCTGAGTGCTGGGATTAAAGACATGCGCCACCACCGCCCAGCTAGGATTCCGATTCGCTACATGAGCAAGTGTCCTTAATCACTGAGCTGTCTCTCCAACCCAACATTTTTTTCTTTGACCCATGGCTGGCCTGGAACACACATTTTTGCACCTACTTCTGCCCCCAGAGGGTTGGGATTAAGGTGTGCCACCACACCCAGCAGAAAACTACTCTAGGCTTCAAGACAGGAATGGCGGGTATGCCTTTAGTTTTGCACAACCTGAGGTCTCCCTCTGTATCCCAGGCTGATGCCAAATTCCAAGCAGTGCTCCTGCCTCAGCCCCCCAGAATGCCAGGAAAACATGGCTGGCCAGTGTCCCATTAACACTGTAGGAGGAAATCTACTGGGAGGACTGTCTCCCAGGGTGAGAGCAGACAGTGGAGTGTCATAGGTGACTGCAGAAGCAACCTGAAGCCCACAAGAGCCCAACTGGAAGCAGAGTAAGACGTGGCTGTCACGGGACAAAAGGTCATTTCTCCTACTGCTGAACAGCTGCGGCCAGTTGCACCCTACACAAGAGTATGCCTGCCAAAGTGGATGCCTGATTGTCACCCCACCCAGAGATGTCTCCTTGGTTTCTACAAGATGGTTGTCGGGTGGGGCAGCACGCCAGGCCTCCCTTCTTCAGCACCTCAGAGCTGACTTTCTGGAACAGCAGTCATTTATTTGTTCTGTCCCCAGGGTTAGGAGGAGTTCTAGTTCCTGGTCCTGGTTCAGGTAGGTCTGGAGGCCAGAGCAAAGGGTGGGTGCCCCACCCTGGTTGACCAGGACAGGATCCTCCTAGGAACATTGGGTGAGGGCTGGCTACAGGGAAGGTGGAATAGGCAATCAGTCTACTGGTTGGTATGACAGACAGGGCCCCAAGGGAGACGGGAGTGGCCAAGGCAGAACGTTTACTGGGTCACTTTATCTCCATTGACTTCACCCCTGACCCCTGTGCACACTGAAATCACCTGTTCAAGGTCACTTGGCCGGAATACCTGGAATGTATTGGGAGTGACATGAACTGGGTGGCCGGGTAGCTGACTCGGCAGTCTAGTAATCTTTCAGACTAGAACAGCACCAAAGGCCAGCCAACAACCTCGGTGACAGATCTTCAGTCTGAAATGTTTCTTTGGTGAATTACGGAGCTTTGGATTCCCGAAAGAAATAGGAGGTCAGCCTCCTAAGGGCTGGGATTTTTTTTTTTTTTTTTTTTTTAAAGATTTTA